AAATAGATTGTTAAAATTTATTATTCTTGCTTCCTTCTATTGGGTACTTCACTTTGAGTAGAGTTCAAGGACAATGATCTTAATGAAATATGTAATAACTAGGCAAAAGGAGCTGAAACATTTTAAAGATAATATTTTGAAATGACAGTCAGACATCTTCCTAATTCATGGCCTATAAGAAAGAGGAGGAACAGCACAATCAGGCTTTCAAGATGTTGTTATTATAGCCAATCTCAATAAAAATAGTTTTAGCTTTCCTGTAATCCTGGCCTGTTTAATAGCAATAGCACTTAGAGTTATGCAATGCCTCCTAATGCTTTACAGCACTCTCTAAACCAGTGGTTCTCAACCTTCCTAATGCCGCGACCCTTTAATACAGTTCCTCATGTTGTGGTGACCCCCAACCAGGGGTCGGTTCTAAATTTTTTTACTACCGGTTCTGTGGGCGTGGCTTATTTTGTGGGCGTGGCTTGGAGGTCATGTGACTGGGTGGGCGTGGCTTGGAGGTCATGTGACCGGGTGGCCATGGCTATGTGTATAGGGACTACTCAGAGGGCTGAAAAAAGTCATTTCTGACAGGTCCTCGCACTTTTGACTGGTCCTCACACTTATGACCATCCTCACATTTATGCCTGTGCAGCATTCTTAACAACCGTGTCACTCATTTCACAACTGCTTCTCTTCACCATGGTGACAAGATAGGGCAAAAATGTAAATTGTGAGGACAGTCGTAAGTTCAAGGACTGGTCAAAAGTACGAGGACCAGTCAAAAATAACTTTTTCAGCCCTCTGAGTAGTCCCTGTGCACAAAAGGACTACCCAGAGGGCTGAAAAATGTGATTTCTGACAGGTCCTCGCACTTTTGACTGGGCTTCGCAGTTATGACTGGTCATCATTTATGCCCATTGTACCATTCTTAACAATCGTGTCACTCATTTCACAATTGCTTCTCTTCACCATGGTGACAAGATAGGGCAAAAACGTAAATTGTGAGGACAGTGGTAAGTTCGAGGACTGGTCAAAAGTGCAAGGACCAGTCAAAAATAACTTTTTCAGCCCTCTGAGTAGTGCATATGCATAAAAGGATACAGCAATAGAGAGGGATGAAGGAAGGGAAGGGAAATTAGAGTAGGAGTGAGGGTAAGAGAGGGAGGAAGAGAGAAGGAGAAAGAAAGAGGAAGTAGGGAGAAGAAGAAGAGGGGGAAGAGAAAGTAAGAAGGAAAGAAAAGACAGAGGTGGTAGGTTTGAGGAGAAAGATTGCTGTACAATAAAAAAGATGAAAGGGAAGAAAGCCAACCCCAAACAAATATAAAGATATTAAGATAAAGAAGCATATTTTACAGACAAAGCAGCTCCCACCTTCCTGCCCCCCACGCTTCGTTAATGGCCCAGACGCAGAAAGTCAATCCTTTATCAAAGGACATTTGCAACACAATAGCAACAGAAACTAACACAATGGGCCCCATCTGGCAACCGAAACTCACCACACATGACCTGGGAAGCATGTGACCTGGGAAGCACATGTGACCGTCAGCCAGCAATGCTAGCTAAGACCCCCACCCCCTGGGAGTCTGACAACCAATCAGGATACTCTTTTGGGGCCCCAAGAAATGCAAAGCCAGAGAGAGCATAAAAACCCGAGGATTTACTGTATCTGCCCCTTTTCTGTTCAGGAACTCAAGCCATGTGATCCTGTCCACCATTAAACCATCTTTCCAAGCAGTCTCCATGTTTCCAGTGTCTTTTTCCCCACTTGGAGCAGAACCCAGAAGGATATTTCTTCCAACACAGTGTTTAGTCATTTCAATTAAATTTACAATTTCTATATTTCCTTTTTACCATATTTATTCCTCATCTATTTTTTAAAAAAACCAATATTACCCTTCATCCTCATCTCTAATCTTAATCAAATTCAATTTTTCCCTTCTATTCTATATTATACCCCTTCGCATTGTCATCTATTTTTATATCCATCCTCACATTGGTTAATTATGTAATTATTTAATACAGTTGTTTAATACAAATTCAACATTTTAATATAAATCAATTAGTTATATAACTATCTTTTTTGTATATTAATCAATATGAACATGAATATTCCAATTATTTCCATGCAATCCAATTTCTTACAAATCAATTAATTATATTTACCAATAATAATAAACCAAATAATTTCCCCCATATATTCCTCCAAACCACAACTTAACCATTTCTGCTTTCAACACAATGTACAATTAATAGTATCTCAATTATTACAATTCCCTAGTTAAATAGAGCTTTTTTGCTTTTGTGTTTTAAAATCTTGAACCTCCTCTTTTGCCCTAAATTTCCCATTGTTTGCAGTTTTGCACCTATCTTTTTTGGTGAGGAAAAAGAAAAAGAAATCTCTCTGCCTCATTTTGTCATGTTGCAGCAAAGACCCTGCTTCCTTACTTTCAATTTCGCTTTTCAGCATAGTTAGGGGAAAAAAAAAATTGCTCCAGGAATTTACCTCTTTGCAGCTAGCTCTTTGAAGCCCCGCGGCAAGAATTTAAAGTTTTTTTCCCTCTAGCCATCAGCTGGGACTCCGGAGGCAGCAATAAATTGAGAGTGGGCGGGGTAAGCGAACGGCGAACGGCGATCCAACAGAGGCAGAGGGTGAGGGTGAGTGAAGGCATGGGGGGTGAGAGAGGGCTTTGGCGACCCCTGTGAAATGGCCATTCGACCCCCAAAGGGGTCGCGACCCCCAGGTTGAGAACCGCTGCTCTAATGGGTCATACAATTTCAAAACAAACATTGGTATCTCTGGGACAGAGGGAGAAAGACCAGACATGATGTCTTATCCATCATTTACCTCATTTTCCCCTTCTTGTAGACACCAATGCGACTAACAGAAGACAACCACAAAGCTACTATCAAATTCCATTTGCAAATTAAATAATATTCTTAATAATGCAAGTTGTGGGACATTTTATAATAATTTTTTTACTCCAAATGTAGAATTTTTTAAAAATAATGGAAACAATATTATCTTTATAGACTTGCATTTTAAACAGCTCTATGTAGAGAAAGTGCTCCTTAAACTGAATTTTTCTCAGTAATAATTAGTAAGCTTAATGAGTAATTCACTCCTACAATGGTTTATTTTCTGTTTTATTGACTCCTTGATTGATCCATTCAATCACTCATTCCAAATTGTCTGTTATGTGGTTCCTTTTAGATTATTGCATATATATTGCATTATAGATTGAATTCTTTTCCAAATTGTGGGATATTTTCCTCCTAAAATTGTCAAGTACAGATAAATTATAGTATTTTGGATTATCTTCCTCGAAATATTCCTTACTAAATACAGTAGAACTCTGGTCACGACCATAATTCACTCCATAACTTTGGTTGCAACCTGATTTGGTTGTGACCTGAACCTAATTTTGGAAATTTGATGCTTACAAAAAAAATGGCGCAAAAGGGGAAATCGGCCACGGGAAAAAAATTGTGAATTTTTTGGTCAGAACCTAATTTGGTTGAGGTCAGAAGCATTCATGACCCGAGGTTTTACTGTAGTGTATGATTTTTTTTCCTGAATAAATATAACTAGAATTTTGCTTTGACAATATCTACAGCCATGTGCTAAATGTACTTTAAATTCTTTTTTTAAAATTTCTGATTAATTTTGACTCTCAGAGGGGCTTCTCAAGTTTAAAAAACAGAAAAAGATGAACTGTTGTAATATTTGCCTTTAACCAATGAACTGCTTAATTAATTTAATCTTTAAAAAATCTTCTACATTATCAACAGCAAAAAGTAAGCAATTCATTGTTATAAGGAAAGACCATATGTTTAATTTCATGTTATAACAGTACACCAGAATTAGAAGAAGAAAAATAATGAAAACTTAACAGTATCATTAATTAAAATGAAATCTATTCATAGATATCTGAAAAGAACCCATTTAAAATGCAATGGGCTGGGTGATATTAAACTTGCCTAGATTACAAAGATTTCTTCTATTTTTAAGATACCGATATATAAAGGGTCCCCTTCTCAAAGCATCTGAGACACACAGGCAAATTTGTACCCAATAAGACATGTATACAGCCTTATTGCCAGGTGACCTTAAAAAATAAAATATTGTATAAGTTTCCCTGCAGTGCACTGATATATAATACTCTAATCTTTGTCCAGCTAGAAACCACAACTAACTGAACTTGGTTGATCTAAAAAAAAAAAAATCTAAACATGATCAGCTTTTGTCAAAACTTGGATGACAGACATTCTCTGGGAACTTTCTGGGAATTGAGGGATGCTTACTGGACTGGAAAGACAAAGAAAGAGGCAGACAGACAGATAGACGTAGGAGGGAGGGGTAACCACATATAGTTAGGGGTAGTTGGTTCTGAAAATAACCTGCCATGCCAGGAAGATACTTATGGCTGACCATCAGGATCCTGAATTAAATTTAGAAACATACATGTTTGTCAATGCAGCTTGTGCATTCACATCACTGCATGGTACCAAATGTTCTTTAAGGGCAGCCGCATGTAGACTTTATTACAATAATCTACTAGTCTACTGAAGGTGGTCTTCACTCCAGTAAAAGTGAAAATTCAAAGTTGTGTAAAAATTCTCCTGACTACAACTGCTACCTATTCCTTGAAAAGGACTTGTGGGTTGTTTACAGTAATATTTATTTATTTTATATCAAATTTATAGTCTATAGTAGAATATTGTCTAACAAGAATGTATATGTATGTATTTGAACCAGACTGCAATGTTTCTTTGTGTCATTCTATGTGTGTATGTGGATATATGCATAATGGTTATCTTTTGAGAACTGAATGCAATGAAATTTTATTTTAATGTATGCTTATTACTGTACATTTAAAGTGACAATAAAGGTTCTATTCTATTCTATTCTATTCTATAGATGGAAAATTTATAGATACTACATTCTTAAAATTTAAAATAATTCAGTCATGTTGGGGTTCATTTGAAGCCTGCTCTTCCCTATTCAAACTCACATAGCGTCCAGACACCAAGACAAAACCTCCATGCCATTGGATGACCATGCCCGTTGGTTCATGTAGATGTTAACCTGTAATGAGAATAGTTTGTACACCACAAAGTAGGGATCATAAGTACATAGAGATGGAGGAAAGAAAATAACCAGTAGAATGCAGGCTGTCCATTCCCAGCTCTTGAAGGATCTATAAGGTGCTTCTAGAGGTCTAGAAGGTTACCATAATCACTGGTATTGAAATTGTCTAAAGGAACAGGGAGAGCAAAGAAGGATGTACTATCTCTATCCCATTCCTGCTAGAAGACATCTACAGGTGTGACCAATGCCATTTTGTTCATATCCAGGTCTGAAATCCAATCATAGGATATCTAAATACTTCAGTTTGTTTGTTTGTCAGGTTTAAAAACCACCAATGTCTCCAATGACACTTAACCTGGGACTTAATACTTAATATTTAAGTAAAATATTAAAAGCATAAAAAGGGGTACACACCATTTAAGAAGCAAGGGATGCTAAAAATGATTAAAAGAAAAGAGGAAGGCTTTCAAGGCACCAACCAACCCCATGGCTATGTGCTCATCTGCACACACTAAGCAATGACACAGAGTCACCTTTACAGAAAGCCAGAAGAGTGGTCTTACCTGCAAGGAAAGTGTTTTACTTCAGTATAGCTGAAGTACAGCTTCTCAGGAATGGCTGAGAAGGTTCTCTTCCTGGACTTCGCCATTTAGAATTCTTTGCTAACAGGGCTCAGCACACCTTCCTGTCTCATCAGATGGATGGGCTAATGTAACAGAATGAGGATGATTCCACAGGTAACCTGGCCCTGTGAAATGTAGGGCTTTAAAGGTCATAGCCAGCATCTTGAATTTGACCCAGAAGCAAACTGGTGCCCAATGCAGTTGCACAACAAAGTTACTTAGTTGCCTAAAATTGGCTAAATTTTGTACCAGCTGAAACTTCCACGTACTTTTAAATGGTATCTCCATCTAGACTGAATTGCAATTGTTCAAATGGGAGATGATCAGGACATGAATTACCAAGCATAGAGACTCTTGATCAAAGAAAGGGCATAATTGATGTGCCACAAAAAGTTGAGCATCAGCTCTCCTAGCCATGATTGCTACCTGCTCTTCTTCTTGGAGAGTTAACTCTTAGTCAGAGTTCTCCAGAACTGCCACAAAATTACTTTCTCCCTTGAGAGTGGAGACAGCAGCCAGATGTGGGTTATGCTCATTGGTCAAATGTGGACTGAGCCTGTCAATTAATTATTAAATACTGCCCCTATTCCTAGGGATTCCAGCTTTTTTGCTCAGTCGTCAGACTGGACAGTTGTGTGGAAAGTGTGCTCTATCTGCTTTTCAGCGTTAGAGTGTTATTTCTGCTTAATTTCTTCAGTTCTTTTATCTACTGAACATTTTAATTTAATTCACCTATACTTCAGAAGATTCTTAGGACATCTGAGGACGTTTTCTACTTTCAGCATCAGAAAACATCGTTGAAACTGGTCAGTTAATCATTTCCTTGGAGCATTCCGCTCCCTTAAGGGGGCGGGGGGGTTAATTTTGCCTTTATCAGCAGAAGCTATTTTAAATGTAAAAAAAACAAAAAACAAAAAACAAAAAACAAGAACAAAAAACAAAAAAACAAAAAAACCAATTGTTGAATCTTGCGCTCACCTTGTCACAGCTAATTTAAGCTGATCATTAAAGTGGAGTTTTGCACTCCCTCATGCTAACCGCTTGTCGGCCACTGAATAAAGTCACAGCTTTACAGATTGTTGCTACAATCTTTACATCAAAGTCGGCTTTGACGCTTTTAAAAACAGCCTCCCTTTGCTGCTGCTGACTTTAACTGATTTCAGCTGTTTAGCGCTGAAATGTGGCTAAAAATTTAGCTGAAAAGAGGAGTCTCACGCTCCCAAGATCATCTAAAAACCTTTTCTAACATAAATTGATTTCAGCTGCTTAGAGCTGAGTTGCGGCTTCAAATCTAGCCGAAAGAGGAGAATCACGCTCCCAATATCAATTTACGCTCCCAAGAGCAATTAAAGCCTCATTTAATAATTATTCTACATAGGTACTTATAGTTACCTTAATGGCTTTTAACTGTTGGAATTTTATCTCTGCCTTACAGTTGAGCCTCGCGCTTACATTGACAGTTGAGCCGGTTGCCATTTGAATACCGGCAATAACTCAAGTTCCATTCCTGAGAGCCTCCAGCCTATCAGGCTGTGCCAGTTGAGTGCTGAAATGCCATTTTGATTACTGGCGCAGCTAGAATTTTACATTTACCTGAGAACATTAAACATATTAGCCTTTATCTATCCTTTCAAACTATTGAAAAATAATAAATATTTTAAATAACTTACATCTTACTGATTATAGATTTGGTCTGATTCCCAATCTATTATTATGCCTAAAGCTATCTCAAAATCCAAATATGGCCGAAAGGCCACAGTAAGAGAGCAATCACAGGCTTCATTTAGGGAGGATCATAATCAGAAACAAAAGGAATGTGTACTTCCTATGCGCACAACCGCAAAACATTCTTTGGTGACTCCCAGTGCTGTCATCAGTCAGGACAAGACTGTTAAAAAGTCACGTAAAAGAAATAATTATACTGACTCTAAGGTTTCTTAGTTCAATCATCTGAAGTTTGGGGTTCTAATCCCGTTATGGGTACAACCACTACTGAGGAGTCTAGCGCTCCCACGTTCTCAGTGCTTAATGCACCTACATCCTCTGTTCCTATCCAAACTTCTAATGAAGTGGACCAGGCTCGAGATCAAGCGCAAATCAATTGGCGCACAGAGGACATTCAACATATGATTAATATGGATGATGCTATTTCACTATAGCCATAAACTTTTGCATTTGAGGAGTTATCTCGCTCCCTGATTCTTGCCGCTTGTCGCCAGTTTTAAGAAAGCGCAGAGTTTTTCCCTGCTATTTTAAACTGCCTCACAGCTGATTGAGGCTAATTAACATTTTCGACTACGAGGCTTGACTTTCTCTGGCTATCTCCGTTTATCAGTGCTTTGATTATTTGGCCAAATTAGACTGTTTAAGACAGATCTGCCTTCATTTGAGACTGAACAGTGCTTCAGTTTTTGACAGTTATGCCAGCTCGAGTTCTTAGGTGACTGCTTGGCCGCCATTTTGTTTAAGGGCAACGGCACAGTTTTTTTCTATCAAGCCTCCAATCCTTAGTTCTGTACTGGCTATAAGCATATTCTGTCCTTATAAACTAAGACTGCCACATCTGGCTACTGGAAATGGTGTTGGAGATATAATTTACATCTATAACATGTTTATATTAATTTAAACTACTTTTAAATTTACATTGACCTATTACAGGGCTGATAAAATTTTAGGGGGTCCTTTCAACCCGATTGATTAATTAAGGCCAGTCATGCCTAAGGCTCTGGCCAAGTCAAAATTAGTGCCACAGTGCGAGAGCAGTCAGTGGATTCTAAAATGGAAGCTTCCAAGCATACACAAGGGGAAGGAGTAGCAATTAAGCCTTGTTCTGAGGCTCTTCCTAAGCGCAAGGAGAAGCTACTAAGAAAAACTATTGGCAAAGACAAAGGCACTGGCTCTGCCCCATTGGCTATAACGGTTGGGTCTCCAGGAGAATGTAGACATGCATCCTCTCTGACCCAGGATCACATGTCAATACAAGATTTCCCACTATTAGTTGAGCCATCTGATTTATGGGGATCTCCTCCTCCTGTTCGAAGTAACAATAATGTGGAGTCTAGCACTCCCACTCTTACGGTGGCACAGTTTGTGGATAGCTAGCTCTGACAGTTTTCAGAGTTAGACTGTTTTCTTTCATACCTGATTGTTTGGATTTGACCTTGGATGTCGTACTTGGCTATTCTTTTGTTTGCTGGACATCCTTTAATCGAACTGGTAAGTTTCTGTATGTTGGTGGAGCTTTCCGCTCCCATGGGTGGCTAAAAATCACCGGCTTTGCCAGTGGAGCCCTGCATTTTAAACAGCGACTTCTCTTTGCGGAGTCTTGCACTCCCCACGGTCTTTGGGCAGCCATTTTTGTCACTGCCAGCCGCATAACTGTTAGTGGAGTTTTCCGCACTCCCTGTCTCTTGCCGCTTGTCAGCCTTTCACTCAGGCACAGCTTTTCTCCAGCAGACTCAATAGAGCCGCTTCTCAGCTGTTTGAGACTAGCTGCCGGGTTCTGAGTGGAGTCTTTGTGCTCCCTGACTATCACCGCTTGTCGGTTCTTTTCCTCCAGGTTCTGATTCTCTCCTGCAGAAATGAACAAAGCTCTGCCCGCTGTCACTATTAACCGCTTCTCAGCTGATTGACCTTGCCGCCGGCTTCAAAGTGGAGTTTTCGCGCTCCCTGTGGTTTGCCACTTGTGGTCACATCACAAGGGCTTGGTGATATGTAAAATCACCCTAATTTATACCTGCTCGACTCTTTGACTTCTCTTACTGGTCCGCATCTCAGCTGTTTGACATTGCTGTTCTGATCAGTAACGGAGCTTTGTGATCCCTGAGTTGGCAGTTCTGGCCGCCATTATGTTTAGGGGCGAGGTGACACGTTGAGCTTCTCTCAGGCTTCCAGTCTTTCTGGCTGTGCCTGCTACCCTGGCCTAACCTTGCCTTCAGCCCTTTTGGCAGACATTGCTTCACCTTACAGGCTTGGGGTTAATTGCCTTCTCTTTTCTCTGTTGCTGCCTCGCATATTTATCTCAGAATGCATCTAGAATTTGACATTCCCCTGATACAGGACTGCCTTGCTTAACATGGAGTCTATTTTCCACTTCTTGGGTGTTATATGGCCTATCATGCCTAAGGCTCTGGACAAGTCAAAACATGGCCACCAGGCCACAGTAAGGGAACAGTCAGTTGCTTCCAAGCGTAAGATGCCAAGCATGTGCAAGGGGATGGAGTATCCATTAAACCTCAGGCTAAGTTTTCTGCTAGACGCAAGGTAAAGCTTCTATGGAAGCCTGTAGTCAAGGCCAAGGACAGTGGTCCTACATCATCTACAACAGCCAGGGTTTCTCCAGGGGAACGTAGACGTGACCTCTCTCCGACCCCAGATCAGATGTTGCTGCAAGACTTCCTGGTGTCAGTTGAGTCAGCTGACTTTTGGGATCTCCCCCGCCTGTGGGGTATCAATGCTGTGGAGCAGGGCTGGATTTAGATGAAAAGAGGCCCTAGGCTATTCCA